CCAGCAGCTGGAGGACCTGCTCGACGACCTGCGGGAGGAGCTGTCCGAGACCGAGCAAAAGCTGGGCGACAAGATGGTCCTTATCGACAAGGACAGGGACGGCGTCATCACCACCGAGGAGGTCGCACTCGCCTGCTCGCTCCTCAAGGATCGGTACGTTCCTCCGCACGATACTCATCGTCGCACACGCACCAAGCACATCACCGCACACACCGCACATGCACAACACGCTGATGTCTTGCGGTTCGCGCACATACAGGCCGTCGGATGCGGAGATCAGGAACGTGCTGCGTGTGCTGGACGCCGACGAGGACGGAGTTGTGGCGCTGGAGGACGTCCAAAAGATCCGCCAAAAGCTGGAGGAGCTCCATCTCGAGGAGGCGCCCGCCGAGGAGAAGGAGCGGAAGTGAAGGCCCACCCCGCACGCGAAGAACGAAAACGAAGAGCGAACCAAGAGAGAAGAAAGAAAAGCTGCCGACAAGAGAAAAAAAAGAGAAAAAACGTTTCTGTCGAGAGACATAAACCACTTGAATTGCGGTCGGTTTGCCACCGGAGGTGCTCCTGGGCCAGAGAGGACGATGGAGTTCCCCCACCGCCCCCGGCATCACCTGCCACACAACAGCAAGCACTCGAGCCACAACACCGCCCATGGGTGCGCCATTTTTCAAATTTGATTCAAATTAGCAATTATTTTTTTTAACAAATACAAAGCCCATGCCCGCACAAGGCATACTAATATTAAAATTGAAGGAGATATATGGATATATTGTTATATTCCATATCAATTAATCGAAATATTGATTAAAGTCGTGCGCAACGTGTAGAGGAAGAGGAGCACCAGTCATATGATTGCCTGGTGGCGCAGACGGCGCTGGTGGTGCCGTTTCACTGGGGCGACGCCGGGAGGGCGCCCGGGGAGAAGAACCGCCTGGCGCGGTACCTCCTCATGGACAAGCTCCTCCAGCGCTTCGTCGTTCACCCCGAGACCGGCCAGCGCGAATTTCTCTGGGAGATGAACCGCACCATCCCCTTCGAGATCGGTACCGCCACTCTGTGTGCGTGTGCGTGTGCGTGTGCATGTGCGTGTGCTGTGGGCAGGCACTCACGATCGCGCGCGAACAGGCGAGCTCTCGGCATATCTGAAGCACATCCTGGGGTGGGACGACACGGTCAAGTACTACCAGGAGAATCGCTCGGCCCGGGAGCAGGCCTTTGGGCTCGCGGGCGGCGCCGCCGCCGCCGCTGCGAGGCGGACCGCGGCCAAGGGGCGCA